GAAGAGCGCAATGATGGTGCCAACTTGGGCCAGTGAAGCAACGTCCTCCACAACTAGACTGAAGAACAAAACGACAGCAACTTGTCTGTTCCCCCTTCCCCCAATTCCCCAGTGCTGTTCCCATCCCCCCAATTCCCCAATAAAAAAATCTTAAAAAAAAAAAAAGAAGCTGAGATTTAGAGAAGCAATGCCAACTAGCCATTTTAAAACAAGACTCAGATTAGTGAGTAGGTGACTGTAAAGCCAGGCTCTTACCTTCCCAGGATTTAGAATGCTTGCTAGGAATTATTGGAGGCTTTCTTATCTGGATCCAAAAGTTATCTTGGATAACTAGTCAAATTGATTGGAAATTTCTAGTTCTTTAAATTTAATTTTTAACAATATTTATAACAGCTTTACTAAGTAGTGGTTTAATCTACTAATCTACTGAGATATAATTCACATACCGATACTGAGATATAATTCACATACTGAGATATAATTCACATACCAATACAATTCATCCATGTAAAGTGTATAATTCAATGGCTTTTAGTATACTCAGAAACCATGCAGCCAATACTATAATCAATTTTAGAACATTTTCATCACCCCCAAAAGAAACCCCAGAGCCTTTTAGCAGTCACTCATTTATCCATTTATCACAGAGCCTCCTGGCCTTAGGCAACCACTAATCTACTTTTTGTCACTATAGATTTGACTGTTTTGAACACTTTATATGAATGGAATCACATATGTGGTCCTTTGTAACTGGCTTCTCTCACTTAGCATAATATTTTCAAGATTCATCTATATTACAACATAAACCACTACTTCATTCCTTCGTTATGGCCGAATGATATTCTATTATGTGAATATAACACATTTTATTTATTCATTCATCAGTTAATGGACATTTGGATTGCTTCCATCTTTTGGCTATTGTGAATAATGTGGCTATAAACACTCATGCACAAGTTTTTGTTTGGATATTATGTTTTAATTTCTCTTGGGTATATTCATTCCTACACATGGAATTACTGGGTCGTGGGGCAACTCGATGATTAACCTATTGAAGACTGTTTTCCACAACGGTCTACACATCCTCCCCAACACTAGTTATGGTTTACCTTTTTGACGATAGTTATCCTAGTGGGTACTGAGTGTTATCTCCTTGTGAGTCTGATTTGCATTTCTCTGATGACTAATGATATTGAGCATCTGTATTTTCATGTGCTGTTGGCCACTGGGTTATCTTCTTTGGAGAAATGTCTGTTTAGATCCTTCGCCCATTTTTGAAATTGTGATACTTGTATTTTTATTATTTATTTGAGTTGTAAGAGTTCTTTATATATTCTGGATCCAAATCCTTTATCAGATACATAATTTACAAATATTTTCTCTCATTGTATAAGTTATCTTTTCACTTTCTTGATGGTGTCTTTGATGTGCAAAAGTTTTTGTAATTTTGATGAAGTCCAATTTGTCTTTGTTTTTTTTTTCCCCTTTGGTGGTATGAACTTTTGTTGTCATATCCAAGAGAGTTTTGCTTAGCCCAAGGTCATGAAGATTTTCTCCTATATTATTTGAATGAGTTTCATATTTGTGGGTTGTTTTTTTTTTTAAGATTTTATTGGGGGATTGGGGAAGGGGAACAGAAAAGTTGCTGTCCTTTTGTCCTCAGTCTAGTTGTGGAGGACGTCGCTTCACTCGCCCATGTTGGTATTATCATTGCGCTCTTCCCGGGTAAGGCAGTCGCTCGCCGGCCATTGTATGGCTGCTCACAGCCACTCACGCTGGCTGCCAGCCACTCATGGTAGCTTACAGCAGCCCACTGCAGCACGGGCTGCAGCCTATGCTGCAGACGACTCACGGCAGCCCAGCTCCAAGTTGAGCTGTTGTTCACCATCTTAGCTGTAGAGGGCGCAGCTTCACTGGCCCTCATGTGGCATCTGAACCCGGGCCCTGATGCTCAGAGCTTGCATCCCAAGCCAACTCTTAACCAACACGCCACTCGGCTGGCCCATTATTGATTTTGTTTTAATATTTAGGTCTTTCATCCATTTTTAATTAATTTTTGTGTATGGTATGATGAGAGGGTCCAATTTCATTGTATGTGGATATACAGCTGTCCTAACACTTTTGTGGAAAAGGTCATTCTTTCTCCCTTTAAGCTGTTTTGACATCTTTCGTCGAAAATCTATTAACCAGAAATGTGTGAGTTTATTTCTGACTTTAATTCTATGCCATTGATCTGTACATCTATCCTTATAACAGCACCACACATGCTAGATAGCTATAGCTTAAAGTAAGGGTTTTTTTTTTAAAAGATTTTATTGGGGAATTGGGGTGATGGGAACAGTGCTGGGGAATTGGGGGGAGGGGAACAGCACTGGGGAATTGGGGAAAGGGGAACAGACAAGTTGCTGTTGTTTTGTTCTTCAGTCTAGTTGTGGAGGATGTTGCTTCACTGGCCCAAGTTGGCACCATCATTGCGCTCTTCCCGGGCAAGGCAGATCAGTCGCTGGCCTCTGGACGGCCGCTCACGCTGGCTGCCAGCTACACATGGTTGCTTATGGCAACCCACTGCAGCAGGGGACTGCA